ATTGTCTGTCATGTCCAATCTTACTTTGAAAAACCGTGATAGAGCGAGTCCACGAAAAACGAGCCACGAAGTAACGAGGGACTACTGAATTAAAAATCTGTCAAATTGTGTGAAGTCAGTTTCTCCACAGGCGGATCTGACTTCTGAAATGAATTAATTTAATTTTGGTTCATCCTCTGAAATGAAAAGGTTTCTCCATCCTCTCACTGAGTTATTAAAAAGTTCTCTTGTTTTTCTCCAACAATGGACGTGTCTGTTTGTCAATGCGCACTCTCAGCTTTACCCACCAGACAGTTTTGCTCTTTATACGTTTTGACCTTTTTCAGTGCAAGCATCCCCAAATTCCTCCTTAAAAGTCCTTTCCTCGACTCAAAAGAGGACTGCAGCTGACTTATTAAGACCTTACAGCAGCAAAACATGACAGAGACGTTGCATAAGGATCAGCTTTGTACTTTGTAGTTGTCAGAACATGTGACCCTTTAGATTACAGAAAGAAAGGTCACTCACCGAATTTTCAGCAAAAACCAGTGAAGCAATTCTTAAAAAGAAAGAAAGAAAACAATTATCCTACAGCTCTCCCCCTCTGTCTCGCCCTTAAGTTCACCCTTTATTAACAATCTCGATAGCATCTCTCCTTGCCGACAAGACGATTCTTTCACTATGATTCATTGCCCTTATCGCAACTCTTCGGGACGCATCCAGCATTCGAAAAAAGAACAATGCAAACGGAAAAAGGTGCAGGTGTGGCGTTTTAAAATCACATTAAATGGACTTAGTTCAGATTTATTTATTGCACAAAACTATTTCACAGGAAGAAAATTCAATTATCTTAAATATTTTTATGTGTTATAATAAATTGCATTTATGATAATGAGAAATAAAAACAACTGTTAAATATGAAAAAAGTAAAACCGTTGAATGGTTAGGGGGAACAAAAAAGAAAAAGACATTTAAGGTTGTTTTAACTATTAAATAGGTCGCTCCTCACTTAAATTTCATGAGGTGGCTTTTAATAAATAATGATTGTTTACGTGAGATATGTATTAAATTAGTATAAAATGAAAACAAAAATATGTTAAATGCAAAAAAACCCACAAAACTGGAACTATATTTAGCATCATAAATTAAAATATTGAAATAATAGTTGCTGCTTTTGTGGATCCTAAAACGCGACATTAAATCCAGAGAAATAACAAATCTATATTTATGTAATGATTGTTTTTTTTAAAAAAAGCTTTTCATTTTATTTTATTTCATTTCATTTTGTTTAGCTTTGTTTAATGTCAGGCTCTGACTGTTTTACACTGGTTAAGTGTTGAAATTTAGAAAACTATTGGGAATTTTTGAATCAGTTTACACTTGGCAATAAAAAATGTCAGGAAAAACAATTATTCAGTGAATTCATCAACCAGAGTTCCTTAAAGAAATGTAAATCATCTGCAGAAGTCTTCAACAAAGATCTGGTGTGATCTGTTAGCTCTCAGCGTGTTTTGAAGATGACTCTCAGGTACCACCACACCAAATTTTAGCTCATATCTGTAAACATGACAGAGTTGCAGCTTGTATTAGATTTTTAAAACGATTAGGAGACGGCAATTTTAAGTTGGGCTGACTTTTTTTTTTTTCATTTACCCTTTATTTATCCAGGTAGTCTCATTGAGCCACGAGAACTCATTTTCAAGAGAGACCTGTTTAGGGAGCAGATGGGGGTTAAGGGCCTTGCTCATGGGCCCAGAGTGGGGCGAATGAGGGTGGGGGCAAGTGTGGGTGTTTCACCTACCCCACCCACAATTTTGATGTTGTCGGGGCTGGGGCGTGAACCGGCGATCTTCGGATCACAGGCCCACCTCTCTAACCTCTGCGCCACTAGTTGTACTGTAGATTTTCAAATGTCCAAATCAATGATCAATGAGCAGTGTTTCCCCTACCATTATCCAAGGAGGGTGCCCCGCCCTGTCAACAGAACCGAGCGCCCCACCTACCAAATCCCCACCCACACAGCAAACAGCTCCACTACTTCCAGACGGAGAGCAGATATTTTAGTAGCTCTGCTCAGACATAGCATTTGTAACGTATCGCTCCGCTTCCACCAGCACCCCCTCCCCACCACCACGGTCAACAACCCCCAGCAATACAAACACAGCGCTCTTCAACCACCATCAACCCCCCAGGTTTTACCATGTCATTATGCTGTGTTTATTTTTGCAACTGTTTTAGACTGTCTGTCTTAAAAGTATAGGGCAAAAAAAAGTTTTCTGCAATAAGACATGAGGGGCAGATGGACAACATCATCATCTATCTCTCTCAACTTGTCTTGCAAAACTGAACATATTTTTAAAGAGAGTTTGTGAAAACAAGCTCTGACAAAAACAACATGTAAGTTGTTTTGGTTTAGACAAACCAAGTCGTATCTCTAGAACTGCTCATGATATCAAGATTATATAGGTATCAAAGTGTAGCTTAAAAAGGCAGGAATTGGAAAACATGCTTAGTTCTTTTTTTTACCAAAAATGACAAACAGGTACATCTACAAAAGAATAAGAATATCGTGAAAAAGTTCAGCATTTTTTGTCAATCATTTCAGAAAGTGAAACTCATATATTCATATATTCATTACCACACAGTGAAATATTCCAAACCCAGGTAAGACACATCTGTTGTCTCTGGTTCAGAAGTGGCTTGACATGAGGAATGCAACATTTGTAGCTCATTTCTAAGACTCGTCTGTGCATAGTGCATGGTGTGCATGAGTTTCCAGTATGGAACTTTGTCACAATTTTCTAATTTTCCAAGACACTCAGCCTTCTCAATAACTTTTGACTAGTTGGTTAATTTCTCAGAGTAAGAGGTTGGAGTCATTTCAAACAAACACAGATGTTCTGTGCAGCAAAAATGTTGGTGAAGGCAGACTGTTTAAACACTGATCACTGATGAACGTGTCTCACCAGCATGAAAAGAGTTCTGAAGCAGCAGCAGCTGTCAATCAATTTGTAGAGCAAGATAACATACATTTTCAAGAATCTAATAAGTAATACTTTCACATTGAATTTATCTTTATTCTTTATCTTGCAGCAGTCCCAGCTGAATGCACGCAGCTCACAAACTTCACTTTGTTTTCTGTAACTACAGACAAGATCATGAAACCTGATTCACATCAAAAGCATCGTATTGTGAACATTTGAATAAGATGATTTTAACCCTTTAACTTTATGGTTATTCATGTTCCTCTTAAGCAACCATCTTATTTAACTGCTTAAAAAAATACTATTTTAAAATATTTGTTCCACAAAACATTTGTCACTCTTTTAGAGCTGTCTCTGCCTGAAATTAAAATATCTAATTTAAATTACTTTTTAATTATAATGTTTTAAAGTTTTATTGTTTAAAAACTCTACACTACAGGTATTTTTAAATTGACAAAATATTTATTTTGTGTTTTTTAAAGGGTATTTTCCTCTATTAGTAAGCCTTCTAGGTCAACATCCACATCCTCCTCTGTTCTCCAGAGTTCAGAACAGATGCTTGGTTCTGTTGGCCCAGTCAAACCAGTTCTGGACCACCTCCTGCACAGAGTCAGACCTCCTAGTGGGGGCTCGGTTAACTCTTCTGCCATTTTCTCTTCTAAAACAAATCATGATCAACCTCTTCAACAACAAAGTCCTCACCTGTGACTTAGACTGTTTTTCTCCATCATGAGCCTCTGCTCTGTCTGAAAGGTTCTGACTCAGCAGTTCTGTCCTCCTCTGGGTCTGCAGTACCTCCTCACATTCAAAAATCGTCTCACTGTTTTCCAGTAACTCAAACACACTAAAACTGACTAAACTAAACACTAAACTAGACCCTAACTATAAAATCCAAATACGTTAAATATCACAAATCTCTCAAACCTCATGACTCACTCCCACTCTCTTAATCGCGCCAAACTCCATTCAGCTTCCACGTCATTTTCTTCTTCTTCCTGTAGATTTTTTCATGCTTGACAACTAACTTTGAGCCTCCGTCAGAAAGGGTGGGGGGAGGTTGTTTATCTGTTCGGTGGGGGTGGGAGGTGAAAGCGGAGGGTGATGGGAGTGTTTTGTTCCTGAGACTGCCCGTCTTTGCCGCAGCCTCTCTATCTAACTCGCTTCAGATATGATGATGATTTTCAGAAAAATATGTGGCGTGGATTATTTATTATAACTCTGGTTTAACTTGACCTTTTAACACGATTTAAAAACTGTTGTGTAGTTGAAAGTCTGCACTTTTAACAAATTAAAATGGAGTCTCAGAGAGGTGTCGTTCCTGCTAGGCTAGAGCAATTAGAATTGGTCATGTGACTACCATGCGCCGACACGTCGATTGACTTCCAAGGAAAAATACATAAATCGTCAGTTAGAGTACATGGAACCAGACACTTGGACAGGCGGCAAAATTACTGCCCACCGCCTGTTATTGAGAAGGCAGGACACTGAGTTTTGGTTTTTCATTACAGTAGTTGTAAGTCATAAATATCATAATTACAAGAAATAAAGGCTTTCAATATTTCACTCTGTGTGTAATGAATCTATATAATATACGAGTTTCAATTTTTGACATGACTGCAAAAAAAATATTGAACTTTTTCCACGATATTCAAATTTTTTGAGATGTACTTGTAATCCCTGATTTGATGTGATGGACCACATTTATGTTTTCTGCTTCTTCAGCCAGAATTATTGGACAAATCACAATGTATCTTTTAAACTATAAATACAGTGTCACATTAGGACCCCACCAAGACAATTTATACTAAATATTTTTATACTGGTACTAACTTGTTCAATAATATCTGCACTCTCTCTGGTCAAGAGCCACTATTTAAACTGCATCTTGTGACCAATGTGGCTGATAGTAGCAGGAAATGTGTTTATTCATTTAGTTTAGGTTTAACAGAACAGGTGAATTTACACATTGTAATATTTCATAAAGTGTGAAGTTGCAGGCGGCTTCCATTATTTTTCTACCCCTATGTGACCTCTTACCACTCGCAGTAGCTTTTTCTGCTCCTTGAAAGTGGCACAGCATCCCAGCACGCCAGTTACCATGACGATGACTCCAGCCAGGACCAGTATGTAGGCAGAGGCAGCATAGGTCTTGGAAGAGAGAAGGCTGATGTAGTCGCTCTTCTCTGCTAAGGTCCAAACACCCACCCCTATCACAACTCCTCCTGCCAACTGAGAGAGAAGCACATGATGAGATTCTGGTTTATGCTAAAGGCTGAACTGTAACAAGAACTGTAACGTATAGTTGGCACTCTGGTCAGGTGAAAATCCCAAAGTACAACACTTAAACTGAAATCAAAATGTAACAAAGCTTAAAGTATATTATTGTTGTACAAAATGACTCAAGTTTTTAAAAGAGAGGGCTCAACATTAATTTGATGAATTGTGGAATTAGCAAAGCATCATTCAGACCCTTCTGTGACACTGCAGCCCTAAATTGTGTGTCACAGTATGTTGCTCCATGACATGTGGAAAGAAAAACAACAACAAAAACCGTCAGTGAGAGTGTGAATGGGTCTGTCTCTTTGTGGCCCTGTGATGGAATTGCAACAGGGTGTCCAGGGTGTACCCCACCTTTTGCCCAATGACATCTGTACAAAAGTACCAGCTCCCTGTGACCCTGCAAGGGAAGAGTTGGTAAAGGAAATACAGTAGTCCCTCGATACTTTGTGCTTCGACTTCCGGACTCACTGTGTCACGGGTTTTCAATGTAAGATTGTACACATCACATGTTTGTCAACTTTAATATTACTCACGTGATTGAGACAGCACAGGATAAAAAGTTAACGGGAGCAGGAATCAACTGATAGGACAAAAAAAACAAAACAAAAAATACTTCGGACAGACGCCGCCATTTTGTAGTTTTTTTTTCAATAAGCCTACACTGTAACGCAAGTCAAAAGAACTACATGGACCAGAAGCCAACAGTGCTTCTGCCTGCTGCTTTCTGTTGAAATTCAAAGAACAGCAATGGAGGGAGTAAACACTAGCAGAGAAACCGATGAGGTAAAAATAGTTTTGCAACGCAAAGTCAGACGTAACGATCTATCTATTGAGCTCACAGAACTGGCAGGAAAGGCACAAATAATCCTGAAGCTGAACTCATCCTTCTAGTTATAGTATCTTCACTGGTGAGTACCCATATGAAATTTTGCAATACTTTACAGTACATACTTTACAGTACATTGTTAAAATGACGTAGGTTTAAGAGTTTAGAACATTGCAGCGTGTGGGAAGGATTTATAAAGCATTAAAATATATATAAATACAAAAATACATATAACGTTCCTACTTGGCAGATTTTCACGAATCACAGGGGGTGTCTGGAACGTAACCTCCGTGAGGGACTACTGTAGATGAACACCTACAGTGATTTACCGGAAGTTAATTATCTCAGAAAATGCACTCCTGATGCCCTTTGTTCAGTAGCAGATTTGAAGGTGTTTTTTCTACAGTTTCTTGTCACGTTAAATCTTAGTTTTAGTTCAGCAGTAGTACATTTGATTTGTTTGATTTAAAACCCATTTATGACTATGTGATATTTGAATTTTTAACAATTTTCTTATATTACTGCTTATTGTGTCCTACGTTAAGGCTCTTAAAACTAAGCATTTGTGACACTGGTTTGCAAACATCGCCTCAAACTTTAGATACGAGACTTTTGAGAGGTGTGACAAACATCATGACAGATCTAAAAACGTTAAATCTGGTCCTCTGGACATTCAAAAAAACAAAACAAAGTAAAACAACAACAAAAAATGTAAAAACGTTTAGTCTTTCATCCGAAAGACTTCCTCAGTCTGAGGAGCTGTATTCAGCTCAGTCTCTTAAATAACACCTTCTCAGAGTGGATCGACAGGTGAACATGGAGGACTCCACCCCTGTTTAATGATGGACGATTTCTTTTCACAAAGATGGCCTCCTTTACTCCTCTCTCAAACCATCGTTCCTCTCTGTCCAGGATGTGCACATCTTCATCCCTGAAAGAGTGACCGCTGGCCTGGAGATGAGTGTAGACCGCAGAGTCCTGGCCTGATGATGTTGATCTTTTGTGCTGGGCCATCCTTTTGGCCACTAGACGAAACGTTTCTACATTTTTTTGTTTGTTTGTTTTTTTGAATGTCCAGAGGACCAGAATTAACTTTTTTTTTAGATTTTTCTACCTGGATTATTGAGCATGCATCAGGATATCATGACACAGAGTGTCCAAATGCTGATTCCCTGAACTGAAGAACATCTGATTACATCATTTGTTTAAAAAAGGACTCTATGAGCAGACATGATATGATAATGATGTGAAAATAAAAACACTTAAAGGAACATTCAGTTCAGATAAGATACAATTGTTGAAGTTGATCAGAAAGTTTTTTTCCCATCTTTCTTATACCTCAGTGCTCTAAAACATTTTGAAAGCACAAATACTAAGTATGTCCAAGCTCTTTTTTTTTTTCTTTTTTTTTTAGCAAATGTTCACATCAAAATACAAATGTTAGCATTTTTGAGTGTAAACTTTACATCTTTGGTTTTAGATTAGTGTTTACCAAATTTACTAACACTCAAGTGCTTTGAAAAAATGTGAAGACCTATTATTTAAACATTCAACCGTAAAAAAGCATGTACAGTAATACCATAAAAGGTTCATGACAAAAATAAGTTCCCTGAGAAAATAAGCATTAGCTAGAGTCCTATTATTAGTCACAAGTTTTAAAAGTATTCATGATGTGTATGTTTTAGAAGGAAATAAAAAGGCAAATGACAAATGGTAGTTTAGTGCAGCATATAACTGCTGTGGGAATGGAGGGTATTGTTTCATCAACGGTTGTTAACCTCTGAGTCAGATGGCACCACACCCAGAGACACCGTGTCACTGAAACACAAAAAACTGAGGTGGACATGATTCATTATGGAGACAAATCATCTTTCAAAATTAAATTCAGAACTTTCCTCTTTGAGCTTTCCTGTACGTTTTAGATAGTCCTTGTAGTTAAGATCTAGCAAACTTAACTTGCTTTATCCAGTTTTGTTAAGCACTTTGATACTTTGTTTAAAAAAGTGCTCATCAAACAATATTTTATTGTCACTTAAGTTCAAAAGCAAATTTAGCAACAATTTAATAAATTAAGCGTATATGCAGCTTTATTCAGAAAAATATTCAGCGATTGCTTCACTAAATTAAACACCTACACATGAACACTGTCATCAACTAACATGTTTAAATGTTCATATTGTTCAACTTAGAGATAAATTCAGTATAAATTCATCGTTTAACATGCTAGATTAAAACAAAAGATATTTTGAGAAAGGTCAAGGGAAACAGGTTAAAACAGCAGAATGTGTAACTGTCTCTGCAGCTCGAGATCAGTGTGGAGGACGGGCTGTCTGCATAGTTTCAGCTCAACAAACTTCAGGAGTGTGTGAAGTGTGGTAAAAATCATTTGAAGGCTTGCATAAAATTTAAACTTTGGTGACACCTAATGGGAGCAACTGGAATGTGGTGTTTGCAGGTGAAACAGTTTAACCACTCGTGAAACAGTAGAAGTGAAATTATGTATAGGAGTTCATCAAGTACACCAAATTTATGCCCTCTGGGTCTTCATGCTCAGTTGTAGGCAAGTAGGTTTATCATTTTATTTCTTTTTTTTATGAGCTTAATGACATTAATTTCCTGTAAGACTTCATTTGTAACCTTCCTGTAAAAAAAGTAAATGTATGACACAAGGGTAATGTCTGTTATTGTGCAAGCCAACTACAGTGAGTCTCGTCTTTCTGAGTAAGACAGATGACAACAAGACAAAACAACAACTGAAGAGAACTGAGAGGGTTCCCACTGATATTTAACTGTCTTCAGTTTATTTGACCATTCTGACAGTAACTGTGCGAGTTATCGGTGTCACTTCAGAACATTCAAGTGTTTTTCTGCAGTAAAAAATGAGCTGTGCCCACTTTTACATCCCTGAGCAAAGCATTCGTATGAACACTTGGTGTGTGCATCCTCAGACTCTGATGACTGAAACTGTTAGGACAGAGTAGCGCACATAGAGTCCCTTTCCCTATAGAATAAAAACAAGGTTAGAAACCAAGGAGTCCGTTTTGATGGCGACCTCAGTTTTAACGATCACATCAAATACAAGGCAGCACACAATATCACCAAAGTTTGAAACACACTTGGTAAAACCAACAACTAAAAGCTACTACATGCTCTGGTCTCCTCTACGTTAGATTAATGCAGTCCTTCTCAAATAGTGGGGTGCACAAAAGCCCGGCATCTCTAAGTCTTACTAATAATAAAGTTATGAACAAATATGTCTGTCTTGTCATTTAGGGAGCAATGCTTGAACTTTGAACCGTGTCGCTTCCCTCTGCTGCTGAGAAACTCAGCAGGTGACACTTGTCACCCACAGCACGCATGCGACAGAGTAACCTCAGTGCGAGAGCGTTACCCGCCCCTTGTCCTCTTTAAATTTTTAGTTTTTTAGTTTGTCAAAGCACAATTTTTGTGTTTTTTTTTAAATACAGAAGTAATGTTTAATAAATGTTAGGACTCTATTCTTTGTTAACAAGTCCTCGGCTCTGGACGCATTTCACCCACAGTGCGCAGCAACAAAGAGTATAAACTCAAAGCGAGAGCGACACCTGCCCCCTCTTTCTTCTTTCACGTTGACAAAATGTTTTAGTTTTATTGATTGTCAAAGCACAAGTTTGATGTGTTTTTATTTGTTGTAAAAATAGATGTTTAACAAATGTTAGGACTCTATTCTTTGCTAACAAAATATATTTTATGTCAAACAACTTGTCAGGTTCTTCTCTTGTGAGCGCGTTCCCCTGGACCCACACACACACACACACACACACACACACACACACACACACACCAGCCCGCTGCGCTCTCTGCGACTCCTCTGCTGTTGCTGCACTGAAGACCAAGTCCAGGTCCAGCTAAACATTGAGCAGGAGCTGAGAGTTGCAGGTTCATGTTTCAAACTCTGCTTCAAACAGCTGTGCACTGCAAAACGTGCTCATTGTAGCCATTAACCCTGACTTCCTCATTTAGATAAAAATAAACAGCACAAATTGTTTCATTCATTTTTGTTTTGTAGGTCAAAGTGTTGTATATAACACTCCTGACTTAAAATGTTGCTGATCAATTTGAATGTATTATTATTTAATGATTTTATTTAATTTTATTGTTCAGTATCAAATGGTCAAGAATGTTTACAGTTTAAATAAGGATATAAGTTTTTTTTCAGACAAATTGATGCCCTTTAAGCCTTTTCTGTTACAGACTATAAAACAATGTTAATAATCTTTGTTGTACGTTGATCTATATTTCTTTCTTTTTTAATTTAATGTTAATAAGGATACAATGTTATGCAGAGGTGTACTTATAACAATATTATAGACAAATGATAGTATTTTTATTTTATTTATTTATTTAGAAATTTATTCATTTCATTAAAAACAAAATAATTATATATACAACAGAAAACAAGTCGCGGTGGAGAGTTGGGTGGGGGGGGGGGCAAATGTTTACTTCTTCCTATGTGGGGGTGTAACAGAAAATAATTGAGAAGCACTGGATTAATGCAATTATTTATTCATTGGTCTACCAAAATATCATGTCAATACGCAACAAGTTCAGCTCACTGCTGTTTGAATCGTAACAGAAAATAGTAAATGTCTTACTCCAACACTCAGAGTGGCTTCTTGTAACTTTAAGAATTAATTTTAGGATTTTCATATTATCTTTTGAATGCCTTCAAGGTCTTGCCTCAATATATCTTAGAGACACAATTACAGTATGACGTATGCTCCAACTAGATTATTGAGCTGCTGATGCCTAAGACTCAGATCAGGAGGGAGTCTGATGTTGAGTATAATAGCCCTGAGCTTTAAACATGAATTAATTTATTTTTTGATGAGCTGTTTGTTCATTTAGGTTCTGTAAAGCACTTACCATTTAAATGTTGCTTATAGTTTGATTTTATTTATTTAAATTTAGACTTTAGTTTCTCTGTTTTTACTTCTCTTTAAATAAAACTCATTGAAATCAATATTCTTTAAAGTGTGCTATGCCCATAAAGATTTATTATTATTATTATTATTTTAGTCCTTCAACCTTTATTTATACAGGTAGTCTCATTGAGTCACGAGAACTCATTTTCAAGAGACCTGTTTGGGAGCAGATGGTGGGGGTTAAGGGCCTTGCTCAAGGGTCCAGAGTGGGGCAAATGAGGGTGGAGGCAGGTGTGGGTGTTTCACTTTTTCCACCAACATTTTGATGGGGTCAGTCTGGGGAGTTGAACCTGCGGCTTTCTGATCACAGGCCCATCTTCTTTAACCTCTGTGCCACCACTCCCCATCCTTACCATCTTTGTGTTGTGATGTCAAAATTTAGCCACAACGTAGCACTTAGTACTAACTAGTGCAGCTGCACTACTTGGAGTCAATAAATAAATGTCATCCAGAAATAGCAAACATGTAGAGGAAAAAAACAGTTGATCTGGTCTCAAATATTCACTCTGACATTTACGAATACAGAGGAAAAATGATGCTGTTTGCCAGTTTTACAAAGATCTGATTCATTGGCAGGCAGATTTCTTCTCATACGGGCAGATGTTGGTGAGAGTTCACAATGAGACTGAGTGAGACTCACAGACATCCAGCCTTTGCAGATGCCTAAAATTAGTTTACGCACAGAAAATCTGGCACGAGATAGAAGAAGCGTCACATTTATGAAACTGAAATGTTTGAATAAATTGAGATTTGAAATTGAAACGCAAAAGTGTTACGACTGGTGTGAGGTACTTGTGTGTGTGTGTGTGTGTGTGTGTGTGTGTGTGTGTGTGTGTGTGT